TAATAATAGATTCGAGTTGTAGGAATCACCACTCATAGTTTTCTACCATTCCACCCCTAAAAACTAATATAAAGATTATTTTTCACCACCTTGTCAGCACAGTAAAACCGGTTAACTTGAGCGTTCCAGCAGAAATCCAGCGACAAAAAGCCCTGAAATGAACTCGTCTCTCAGTTTCTCAGTTCCAGGGTAAAAAACCAGTCCGACACACAGAATAAACCATTTCAACTCCTCAGCTCTCCTCTTCGGCTGAGGTTTAACGCGTCAAATAGCTGCCAAGTCCCGGTTCTGGGTGTTCAACACTCACCAGTCCAAGTGTCCGATCAGCATTTAGGAATAAAAAAAAATCCTCTCGTCGCAGTGGAAGTATAATCCGAAATGGCACAGATGGGAGGGGGTAAAAAATCAAACGTAGCGTTTATCCTGGTGTATATAACCCCTCAGCTTTCGGTGCTATTGTCTGTCCGTGTGTGTGTTTGTGTGTGTGTGAGGGAGAGGACTGAGTGTGTGTGTGCGCCGCGCGGAGCTCTTCTCTTGTCTGTAGCAGACTGTCGAGAAGCGCAGCCTTTTTCGTCAGTGGAAAACTCCCTCCTGGCGTCTGGTGTGACGCAGGCGGTGACACGGGGAGGCTGCCCACGCTGCTTCCTGCCCGTCCTGCTGCGTTCACTGCGCCCCCTTTACCTGCGTGACWCAACATCCGCCTGCCTCACCTGTGTCCGTGAACGCGCCACAGCCGCGCCACTATGGATGTATGGATTTCTCTGTCCGGGGATCCCTTGTTTTAGTAATGTCTTTTTATTATTATTATTCTTCCACAAATTAGAGCTAAATAATGTTTAAGTGTGTGGGACGTGGAGCCTAATGCCGCAGGATGATGGTGGCTTATTTCCAGTTAAAGCACTGAGTAAGCTGCATGAAATTCTGACTCATTTGTTTTCTCTCTTTTTTTTTTTTTCAACAGAGCACAGAAAAATGGTTTGGTTTTAGAGAGGTGGTGGTGGGTGGGGGGCATCTTTTATCATAACAAACTTATCAAAAAGTCATAACATCCATTACCAATATGAACTTTAAGCTCCACTGACTTCCTTAAATGGAGAACTAAACTAATTGCTTTTTGTACAACATAATTACATTCACTTCAGTTTTTGTAACTGGGCTGGACTGTGATGAAATACTGGAATGAAGTTAACATTCCTGAAAGGAATTCACTTCACCCGGACGCCAACAAATTTAAACAATACTCTTATGCAATCCATTGGTGTCCAAAACATATGACAGGGTTGACTCTTAGCTGTGACCATTTTACTTTAATATCTGCCAAATTGGTTGAGGTATAACCATTTATGTGTTTGCTGTGGTCAGTTACCTGTGGTGGCCATCTTGAATTAGAAACACTTCAGATGTTAATCAGTTGTAGATATATGCCAAATGATTATTTTCGGAACGTTTCATTAAAATCTGTCCGGTGGTTCAAGCGTTATTTCGCTAACAGACAAATAGGGTTGACTCCCAACAGTTAAAGCCACAGTCTTAACCAAAGATCTTTCACTATGAGTAGCACTCGGGTTGTTAATAACTCTCAGCTACAACCACGCCCAATTTTAGCTCAATATCGGTTAAAATGATTGGATTACAGCCTTTTTTGTGTTTTTTGAAGTCATCCTGCTTTGAAGGCCTTCTTGTTTCAGGTTAACTCCAAAGGTTGTTCAGTTGTAGATAATCATCCAGTGACAACTTCCTGAAAGTTTCATTAAAGTCCATAAAGTAGTTCAAAAGATATTTCGCTAACAGACATAAGCAATTACGTGACTGCTCGCCGTTCAGTGAAGCTGGTTTGATTAGAGGAATTGGTCAAAAATTGACTAAACCTGTTTTTTTATATCAGCCTCTTTTTTAATGATGATGTTAAAAAGTTAATAAAAATGAAAGTGTAAGCAAAGGAATGCTAACAGTTTGTTTGCAGGAACTGCGTCTTAAAATAACAAGCAGTCAAACGTCTAAAGTGGTGACGTGTAAAACGACACAGTAAAGCAGTGCTCGTGAGCCGCTGCTTCCTCATTTTTATTCTCCTTTTAACTCAGGCAGCCGCGGCGTTTTCAATAAACGTTTRAGACGGCAACGATCAGTTCACCTCTGATGCACCGTTTCATTTTCACACGTGGCCATTCAAATTCTCCCAGTTTGTCGAAGCTACTTCACCACATTCTCCAACGTCACGACCCACCAGTAGGTGTATTATCACAAGATGCGCAGCGCACTGTTTACTCTGTGGGCCATGGAAAGCTACACAACTAATTACTGTGTCACATCATTTGTGTTTAGTCTGTATTTTCAAATTAAAGGGCAAAAATAACACGTTATGTGGAGATTAGTGTTTGGATTTGTTCAGCAGCTCCCAAAATGTTGAAGTGAGTTCTTCTGCTGGAAAAGACAAACAAAGAAGTAAATTAAAGGTCTAGCGTACTTTGTGGGAATGCGTATCACTCGCCATCAATTACGCCAAAGTTGACAGTTGACGAGTGAGTAGCACTTGAAGATAATCGCACGCGTTTTTAGATCAACATCTGTAAAAATGTATACATTTTGTATTTTTTTTAGCGTCAGCTGGCTGAGGCAGCAGTCTTGAACCAGGTTGATGTTCATCCAGATTCCTGCAAGTTTCATTTCATTTTATCTGGTGATTCTTGAGATATTTTGGCAAAAAAAAAAAAAAAAGAAACACACATGGATTAAAATATGTAAGCGTTAAGCACGATTACATGAATTGACCTCACAAACTATGCTTAGCGCAGAAAGTAAGAAAATATGTGTTTTAGTAAATTTTACGCTGTTTGGAAAGTCTGCAAATTTCTCTTTTWAAATGGTGCCACATTTGCGAGGAACATGCGTTTGTTGGAYGGAAAGCAGAGCTGATGTGGGTTGTGCACAWGAAAGATTTGCCAAATCTTCTCTGCCAAACAACTTATTTATTTATTTATTTTGCTGTTGCTATTGACCAGGGCTGACCCTAACCAATATGGCCCCCATGGCAAGATTTCAGATGGTGCCCACTGTGCATTTTTTTTTTAAATCTCATTGTCAATTCATTCACATAGCAAATTAAATAGTTTTGTCATTCATATTATTTTGAAACGGTCAGGTTGTCCAGTTGAAACAGYTAACAATATAACTCATTTGAAAGAACACCAGAAGTCTGTCTCATGCCTGCCAACATCTGCTGACATCATGATCTGTTCATGCTAACCAGCAGCTGTGGAGCGAAGCAGCTTTAGGGGGTGTACAGGGGAATTCTACCCCGTAAAGTTTTGTAAAAGGTCAACTCAAAGCTGTGTTTTCCAGCCACTTAAAGAGTATTTTACTAAATTATTGGGATTAATTAAACAAAATAAATTTTATATTTTATGAAGGTAGAACAATAAAAAAACAGACTTTAACCTAARCTTTATCTAAGATCGTAACTGAAACTTCCATTATCCTTATTTTATTTTCTGTTTTACACACTGAGCACCGGGAGTTAGTCCAGACTGCATCATATGATACTTTCATTATGAAATATCCTCTGCACCATTAACACTTCATGTGAGAAACCCACAGAACAAGTTACATTCATAAACCTGAGTAACCAGTGATTATTCCACAGAGTAAATCAGCTAGACTCTGGAAAAAAGTTATATGTATTTTTTCATCCCCCCATTTGTGGCGCCCCCTAGATGGATGGTGCCCTTAGCATTTGTCCATACTGCCTATGCCGACTTTTGTTTTGAGCTTCTGGTACCCTCCAGGTGTTTCCAGTCAGGTGCTTGGTATAAGATTTATTGCCAAGAAGCATTACAACAAAGAAATAATCTACCAAACACAAAGTTCCTTACTGGTTGTACTAAGTTTGTTTTGTTTTCAGTTTTCATTTCATTTTAAATATGTTAACGATCTAAAAAGCCCGTTGTTGATCTTCAAAGAAATTGTCTTCGAAGGAATGCTTCAGCAACAAAAGCATGCTTGACATACCTGAAGATTCCTTTAAAGAAAGGAAAAATTTCAGACATGTCATGTTGCCTACGTGAGGTTTGACCAGAGGTTGACCACACTATCTTTAAACCTTCTGTTAACATCAACAACTCTGAGGCTGTTAATGCAGATCGAAGTACATCCTTTCTGTCCAGCCCGTCAATGTTTGAAATTCCACTGTGTTGTAGGAACTGATGGGAACCATTTGCAAAGGTTTTTTCATGAAAGTAGCAGCAACGGTGACACACACACACGTTCTTCCCTCTGCTGAGCTCCTCTCAGGTATTTACGAGCGTAGCTGCCCACCGTGAGCCCACTGAGACGCTTTGCTTTCTGTCTCAGCTGGAACTGGACTCTGTGCAAAGGGTTCTGCCAGTGTCAACACAGGTGTTGCTCTCAAATATTTGAGCTGAGGTCTCCCACAGCTCATCATCCCTTGGTGATTAGGGATCCTCCTCTCACTTGAGCCTGAGGGGGAGTTCTTTAAGGGTGTCACCCCAATTGGCAAAACAAGCCCATCAAGCTGAATGGCAGCAGATAATTTACTCCCAGTGGACCTTTAGTGTTTAAAATGTTTTTTTTTTTGTGTGTGTGTGTCTCAGTAAAACTGTATGCAGTGTGTGGATCTATTGCTGTCATTTGTTTGCTTTGGTTGTTTCACCAGAGGCATAAATTAGCATTTTAAACAAAGCTTTGTGATAATGAACGAGTCTGATAACGGAGATTACAGCTCGTCACAAAATGTACTTGTGAGCACAAGGGAGTCATTTGATATTTTGAGGGACAACATGTTTCACCTGAAAACAAGACTAGATTAGATTTGGTTACAAAAGAGTTAAAACGGAGAGCTCAGATCCGCCGAAGTGAGCTCCTGAAAAAAGGTTTTGAACAATCAGTATCTTATCTGTTGCAGATGGCTTTTTTTTAACTAATTACRTTTGGAGAAACAAAGTTTACCTTTGACCAGATTATCAAGAAGAGCCCGRCAAACAGCTAAAACAGTGGACTGCTATGGTCTCAAAAGATCTCCAACTTTTAAAATTACGAGAGAAAACTATTTTATACACCTTTATAATTCTATAAATTTAGGATAAATTGTTCATTTCTGCTGGAAGTTACTAAGAATGTYCCATTTCAAAAACTTACATATCCAGGGTACATGCATACAGAGTAAAGGACAATTTAAAGGTTTCAGTATTTGCTTGAGCTGCTATAAAACCTGTGAGATTGTGGAGTGGTTTTCAGATGGCAGTAATCCACTTTGATCTTTACCCTGCTTGGACTACCTGTTGGCTTGTTAATCCGGTCAGAACTCTGTTTCTTTAAACTGACTCGGCTCAACAGCTAACTGCGACGGGTAAGATATTAATTGCTCATTAAGTGTCCACATAACCTCACCTATCCATTTCTGAACTATCCTTACAGCGTAGTAAATGAAAAATGATTAGACTATCAAGAAAATAAAAGAAAAAATAATT